TCGCCATCACACCCCATCACCTTTGTTTCGTCGTCCTCGCCAATTCACCAATTTATTTTCCCGCCTAGACGGGCACATTGCTGTCTCATCGTTTCCTCTCGGGTTCACAATAATGTCCTATCCAACATAGCAGAGGTTGATCACCTATAGGCCAAAAACAGCAGTCTCCGCATAGCTTTGTCTATTGCCGTTTGCGAAAGGCCAAAGTCCAGACCTCGGGATTCAGGAGCGAGAGCACAGGAAGAATCTCATTGAAATCATGCAGCCGATATCATTGTGTTCATGTTCTCCGTATAGCTCGGGCCCTCGGGGGTTATATGCATATTTCTCGGAATCCTAGACTAATCATATCACAGGGCTGGGTTCCGTAACTACGGAAGTCCAGACGTGCAGGTTGAAGTGATCATGGAGTTGGACGCCATATAATTGGAGCATGTGGAAGTACTCCTAATGCATGGTAGATGTGGACCCCCCACGACATAATCAACGTCCTGGACACTGCGCTCTAACCAAAGAACAGGATATACTGAACGCTAGTTTCCGACGCCGTCGACCAAGATTGCAGGTCCACCGGCATACTTTGATATTGGGCAATAGTTCACCCTTTGCAATTTCCCTTGTCGTCTTGGTTTCTATCGAGACTGAGGCTGGAATGCGGATGATCATTTGCATATGTCGAGGGATCAGATTGACGAATCAGTGGACAGAATCGGAGCATACTATCAACCCTCGATCTTGTTCAATAATGGTACCATATGGCACATTTGCATTGTACTCGTGCCGAAAGTAATCGCATCAGGAGGAAGCTCTTCGCCTGATTCTATCCACGGCCCAAGAAGAACGTTAAGGTGAAGAGCGCAGGCCTGATATCACCGCGCAGTACCAAACACCTCTGTCGTGCGAAAGATAAAGCCACCTTTGGAATTGTTTAACTTAAATTTGTAATAGTAGATCGACATCGAATAATGTACAAAGGACGCTGGCGGTATTCGCGGAAAACGAGAGACAGTAGAAGATGATAAACGTGGTGGAAATGTATAGTGGGCTGTATGCTTCGCACGCCTCCCTGTTGAACGCTGTAGCCAGGTTTACGACTAACAGACACGGTGCACCAGATGTTGAAAGTGAGGCACCCACGAATGGGCAAGCGATTGCGGTCCTTACCAGATGAAGTGGTGGACCATCGCAAGGTGGCAGGGTCCGAGTCCTGAGGAGGAAGCCTAGATCACGAGGGTGCTGGTATCGGTTGTTAGGAGAGGTAATTTTGCTGAAGACACATTTTATGATAAGATCATAAGCAATACGTCAACTGAGTTCCGGGGAGAAAGAGATATCGATTTTACGAGTGGGAACCGCACGCGGCCTGACCTGTAACTGATCCACCAGTGTATTCCAAGTATATTCTTAGAGTCGTTCCAATTGGCAATGAGCTTTACCGGTGCCAAGTTGAACACGCGGGGCCTGTCAGTATCAAAGAGAAGTAATATACGAGGGATATTACGTGGAAGCCACAAGGTACGAGGGGTCACAATCAAGCGTAACGAGCCATTAGAAGCGCATCTCTTGTGTAATAAGGTAAGGTAGGGAGGTATTCAGAGTCTGAACAGTGAAGGACAAATCAAAGCACTCGCTGTGTATGATTCTGTGTCCACAGAGAAAGGACTAGGTGATGTTAGAATGCGTTACTTACACTCACGGGATGATGGGTAAGTTAGGGAAGCGCCAAGAGATGCCAGAAGCGCGACAAGTGAATGGTTTATTTCTGAATGGACAAGTATCACTGCCGAAGGGTTGTGCCTTCGTTACCAATGGACCTACGTTGCAATTGTATTGATAGTGACTCGAGTGAGATCTGGCCGTGGCCGCCATCGTCGAACGAAGATTCGCTCCATCAGGACAGACCTACCCGAACCGAGGTTACTTGAAGATTCGTAGTACACCATATCTCGTGTTTCAGGAGTTCGTCATTGGAAAAGGACCACTGACTTTTCTCAGTTAGTCTACTAGTCATTAAAAACTTCAAATTAGGTGCGCATAGGGTTTACCGGGCGTCAACGTGTGCTCTGATTCTTTATTGCCTCCACTTACGTACTAAGCGCTGTAACTTGTCACACTTCGTCAAGCTGAATGAATTATCCCAGCATTACATATTCCTTTCTCTGTCCAGCGCAGAATCATACACAGCGAGCGATTCTTCCTTTCTACTTCACTCTAGCTCATGTTGATACCTTCTTACACCGTCACATAAATGATCAGAGGCGTGCTATTTTAAGAGTCGAAGGGTCGGATGTGGAACCGCAAGAAAATAGTTCCCACCAACATCCGCGATCACATTAACTTCAACAGCCGCCGTCCAATGACTGTACGAGGTTGTTGGAGGCGTGGGTTTTGAATTGTATCGGCGTTCCTCTGGGTTATTTTTTTTGCTCCACCCGAACACGGCATACGCAGTTTTCTACTCTTCATTCTTCTAGCATTGATGGATGCTTCGACAACATGGCAAGTCCCTAGTATCGGCACTGGCTTTTCAATGTCCCATTTCCACACTGACGGGCGATTTGGTAGATACAGAAACTTGATGTGACCTGTGTTGGCTTTGGGAGCAGCACCGCCATGGATGAGTTGATTTTAACTTTTCTTGACCACGAGATGCGCCGTCTTGTCGTTCCCCTCTGAGCGGAGCGTCACAGCTTCGTCATTTCATCCGTCGTTGGCTAGGTTAGCCGCAAGCAAAGGCAGCCAGTCCGGTGTAATGCACGAACCATTAAAATCACAGCGCTGTAATTTTTGGGGAAGATAAAAAGTATAGGGAATCGAACCCCAAGCTGCGGCCACGGTAACGGGAGAAGTATACTGAGAGGCGGCAAGGGGATGCGACGGCTCTAGAAATCTAGGCCAAGCAAAAGCATCTCCTCCAATCCTTCGTACAATCTTTGATGTGACCTCCCGTTCTCATCATACATTTACAAGGAAAGGTGTGGTGTGGTGCAGTGTGCCGGGCCAAGGTCCCAATCAGGAACGCCCGGGCCCACAGTCCCAACATGGCCAAAGCCATGTCGCTGTGGCCACGAAGGCCCATACCACTGTGATCGCACGGTTGCGTACGTCTCGTGGGGTCGTGCGGTAAAGACACGAAGGCAAAGATCTTTTGAAATATGGACAAAAAAATGGGAGCTTTAGGAGAGGACACCATGAACAGCTCGATAACTTTCAAGCATGATTGCTGAACAGCATCGATAACACCATCTACGTTGTATGGGGACCAGGCACGGGAGAGATCAAGCGCTATAGAGTGGCGAAGATGATGCAAGGCATGACAAAGATCGGCGACCCACGATGATTTTAAGTCTCTAGCAAGTGCCACAGCATCATTCATGGCAGTAAAGGTAAGCCGGAAACGCACTGTTGCAACAGGGGATCGCTATCAAGACATCATCTAGGAGGGAAACCTGAAAAACAGCCCTTACATCATATCCGGAGTACAATTTATTCCTGCACAGATAGCCGCCAGAATTCTGCGGCGGTAGAGACGTGGTATGATACAAAGCAATGCGATAAACCGAGGAGTTCAAGATGGTATGGTACAATGAAACGGTGACGAACCCTGCTCGTCGGTAGTGATGCCTGTGGGCTATTTCGTGCGAATATCAGATACACGATCCCAGCACGGCCATCTGTTCCCTTCCTCATAGTACTCAACGCGCCGTCTCTTCGGCTCCCGGTCCGAGTCTTCCACACGTCGATATGCATCCAACCCGTACCCAGGGTCGCGCCATTCAGTATACACTCTGGGCACATCACCGAAGCTTGCAGTATGCAGCTTGAAACTCGGCTCCTTCGCGCCTTCGTCCTCGTCCTCGGATTCAGACGACGACGGGCACCAGACATAAGTGCCACGATTGACTCTGGAACGGTGCGAGGATAGAGGGGAGATAGGCGGTGGGGACAGCGAGGGAGTAGTGTGAAGAGGACGAAGACGGGGGTGCCCGTGGACGCTCTGGGATTGCCGCCGGAGAGATCGGTATATTAGGTCCCGCGGCGCGTTCCGGCAAGGCTGCAGGAAATTGACGGCGGGTGGCGGGCGAGCGGGGCAGCATCGCTTGATGATAGGACGGTTGTACGGGCATCGTCGGGGGCTGCTGAGGCAATGACGATGACGATGATAAATGCGCCTCCTTCGGATAAACGCTTGCCGGTCCGCCCGTCATTGAATGGTTCCGGTAGTGCCTCTGCATGTTCGAGTTCACATTGAACGATCGTCCGCACCCAGGAAACGGACAGTGAAACGCTACGGTACACGTAAGCGCCAAACAAATACAGGTGGCTGTGACTTACGAGTATCCCCTGTGTGGGTATTCTGGTGGATTCGGAGACTACTCGGGCGGTTGAAGCGCTTGTGGCAGATCTTGCAGATGTGTCTGCGCATCTGGTCCGCCAGAGAGTCGTCAGTCGTGTATTCGTGGGTCAGCTGGGACTCGGAATTCGTGTGCAGGATAAAGACGGTCGCACAGAGGTCCGACGATGGTGGTGGTGGATGGAGGCGCAGGCGGTGGTCGTTGCTGTAGGAGATAATCTGCTTACATCAGTTTCATCCGACATGCGAATACGGCCAGGATTTACCAGGGAACATTTCGTGTATACTCGGCAGAGCAGTCATGTTGGGTTCGGTGGTGGTGGTGGTGGTCAAAGAAGAAGGGACGAAAAATTATGTTGTAATGCGTGCCTGGATCAGCCGGCGGCCAATTCTGGCTATGATCTGAGCGTGGATCGGCGTAATTTTTGCTGCGGATCCCTGCCCTGTTTGTGTGTCATCTTCAGCGCGCGGCATCTCTGCCATTCATTGAACATGTTACCAGACCCTAAAACAGAGGCAAGGAGTCATGGAAAATACTCACAGCCAAGGATCGTTGACCAGTTGATCAAATTCGGGATCAAATCGTTGATTCGTCATCTCTTGGCACAGCCGATATTCATTTATTGTGGCGGCGGTACAGCTGATGTCAGGATATGGTGTAACGGCTAACATTACCGCCTTTCATGGAGAGCTGCTTACTCTGTCCGCGGTAGCTCGGGGTTCGATTCCCCGTATTCGAATAATATCATTTTGCCAACCTTTTTGAGGTGGACCGGTCGGTGGTCACCGCAGCTTAGGGCGAATCCTACCTCGTTGTTTATCCCTGACAGATTGCGTATTTTATTGATTCATAATACTAGCTTAAAACTTATATTCCAATTGAGTCTGTAAGGGATCTGGATTTACATATGTACTATTATTTACCTACATCATTAGCAGCGCCCGTTATCTTTCCGTACTCGGACTCTCGCCTCTTAATCACTTACTATCACTTACGTCTACCTTACTAGCTTGTATCTTTGACTCTCCCTCACTCAATACACCCCGTTGGCGTGTGTAGCTTTCTGGTCAAAGGACCTCGTAAGGTATCGTAACCTTTACAGAGTCCGTGATACATTTGTTCCTTCCCGATGTACTCCATTCACGGTTTGTTCACAGTATCAAATACGGCCTAAACTTGGAGGGTTCCCTTTGCCAGGCCTGTAGTAGAGCATCATGGCGTTCGTACTTAGGCGTTAATCGCCTCTATTTGATCGCTGATTCCGCGGTAGTGACTCTTATTAAGTGACAACGATCATCCTTTGTAGGTACATGGTACGTTTCCCCATAAAATCGCATCAGCACACGACATTACCACCAATAGAAACAATCCTTACTTTGGCGCTCATTGTGGATGTGGCTCGGTGACGGTCAACTGTAGTAGCTTGGGGTTCAGTTCCCCCATCCGGTTTAGCGGAAGGTCATATTTTGTCAAACATGATGGCATGTTCGAAGTTCAGCAATGTGCATTCTGAGGGTACGCCTTCAATAATTTTCTGGCAATATGACTGATTTGAGGTACTGTTACATACACATCGAGTGGATGGCCCTCCATCCTCTGGTATAAAGACTTGGACAAATGGAAAAGTATAGGCGGCCAGGTGATGCCAATCCTTCTGCCATGCCTGAGTTCGATTTCACTTATAGAATACCATCAGAAAGCTGTTCAGAGATTAAAAAGGTGAAACCCGGACAGGTTGTTCTCTGAGCGTATTTACCACTAAGTATAGGAAAAGCTCTTGGAGGAGCAAAGGGAGATGAAAGAAACGAAGAGTTTATGCAGGGATCCTCAAAAGTCTCAGCGGACACCGAGCTGATGGATTGAAAAAATTACATACAGAGGAGACGCAGGTCGTTTTGAGATGGAGCCTGTGTTTCGAAATTGGAACCGCAAATATTGTGAGCCTGGAAAAAAGACGATTTAGTATGGAACATCACGACCCAGCGCTTTTGAATCATCGGATATGGTGTGGCGGCGAACACTACCACTGCCCGTTTATCAATAGCGCGGCAACCCGGGGTTCGATTCCCCACATCCAAAATGACCCCTTCAACCTGGTATTTTTGTATCCTTAACACCCAGCGTTCTATTAAGGATAGACAGTCATTCCCTCGCCCCTTCACTTGAAACATTCACCAATATGAGGCCGACGTTGATGCTTTCTACTTTGCCATCCGCAAGCATAGATTCAATCACGTCCATGGCAGGAATAGCATCTGGGAAAGGGTTGAGATTTCTGGCCAAACGTTTCTGGTGACACACGACTAGGTCGCGCTGAAGGGAGAATGCACATACCTTTGGTAACACCGATGAAAGCGATTTCATCCGAGTGTCGAAGGCGACTTTGTAGTTATTGTGGAAAGAATGATAGGGACTCGACATGTCGACATGCCAGGGAACACTGTCGAAGAGTTCACCAGCAGTGCTATTCCGGTGTAGTTCGAGATCGGTCAAGGAGGATCCCGACTGACTAATAAAGTCGACAATTGTGGGCCCACGAGAGGATGACCTTATGAAAGACTTGTTCATCGCTATCAGTGACGTAGAGCTCGGCGCTGTGATGGCGTCGAGCAAGTGCGAGGGGCTCACTTCGAGCTTGCACAGTCGGGGCATGTACATGGCGTCCGAGCCTCCGCCATTGTGACTGCCATCGGTAAAGTGTACTTCGGCAGCTATATCACTAACGTTAGGGCAGCGCTGGATGACCAGAAAGAAATCGTGAATGTACAGGAGTGTGCCATCAACCTTCGGGAGAAGCGGCAAGCGAGACAGAGGAATGTTTGCGAAATCTCTCCATATCTGAGTGGGTGCTACGAGATCCAATGTACACAAGCGGCGAGACTCTGCTAAGAGAACGAAAGAAAGAGGTCTCCGCGTGGAAGAGACATTGTATCCCAGTTCTGGAAACTTGATGGGAAAGTGAAGCGAAATCGTAAGGCGCATGTCCTTTCAGCGAAGAAGTATGTAAGCTAGAATCTGTTCCGTGTGGAATTCGGTACAATGGTACGGACTTCGTCCACCGGCACTTCATCGTAAAAGATGAGAGTTATGGATACTCCAGGTGACGTAGAATTGATGTGCAGGTAATCTGCTGCCATGTTAATTGCTCAGGCTGACCAAAGTGATTCATCCGAGAGAACGGCAGATCTCCAAGTCTTGTTCACTTGTCAGAGAGCCCAGTAGCCATCCGAGAAGTTCAAAGACCGGCCAGGCACGTCGCGACCAGAGATATAATGATGGAAAACCTCGAGCAGGAGCTCCAGGGGAAGGCGAGACGCTGTGTTCGTTCAGGGGGCATCCTCAAGGAAAACCCATCCCCCAAAGCAGAGAAGATCTACGGCAACGCTGAAAAAAGGTACTGCGTCGCGATGGATGTTCAGTAGAAAGTAGGCTCGGGCCGGAAACGGGAACTCAACCGACGTCGGCATCTTCCGTTAGAGCAGAGTTTCGACGCTTGCCATTTTGAAGCGTTTAAGTAGTTAATGTCGGCTTGGTAGTGTCATTTTCTCCCGTGTACAACTTCAGCTGGGCAATAATATTTTCGAGATCGGAGAGTGTATCCGATATCGCTCTCCATCGACACTATCAATTCGCGAATCCTTCAAATTTGACAACAGTTACGACGGGCTCTGTTTATCTACATTCTACCGGTGCTAACAAGGCAGACGTGCACAAGCGGTGCATTTCTTTCTCGTGCTCAAGGCGTTAAAGTTACCAAACCAGGGACTTCGGAGCGTGGCTAGCGTCTATTTGAAGATCACTCTGGATATTTTGCTCGATGTCATCCTCGAAGGGCCGATAGATTAGTATGCGGTATTGTTTCTTGAGAACATTTCCCCATCTCCCAGTTTATCATCCTAGACTCTATCAAACGAGGTACACGGTAGGCTGTTCCATAAGAGATGTCTTAACCCTTACAAGGGGACGGCGGTGATACCAGAAACGGTTGATTACTCGAGACCGGGGTGTTTCATTGGAAAGTTGCTCGAAAGTGCTGTTGATAAATACACACATCGACAAGAAGTAGATGACTAGTCACCGCGGGGAAACGTGTCGGAGTAATAACCCACACCAAAATAGTGCTATTCTGATACTCGAATGCTTTTTACGTGGAGCAGTATCTTTGGACGCCGGAGTTCTGTAATCCGACGATCCATCTCACCCTACTGCCAAGGTATTAAAGCTTGACAGATCGCAAAGGGGTGCACACTTGTGTTCTGCTCCTGGTTTACCGAGATGGTTTCAAGAATTAATGCGCCCGCGGTGTGTCGTGTCGATCCCAGGTCGAGGTCGAGGTCGGATTAAGGTTGATGCTAATGAGAAGGTATCAGCTCGCGTCGAAAGAAACTTAGTGCACCTGGATTGCGAGTACGTATTTCACTGATGGCTGGCTCCCAACCCTGAACAAATGCCGATCCGTAACGGAGGCAGGACGAAGAACCATTCTTCACTCGAGGAAGAAAAGTAAAGATCTCGTCCCCATACTTCAAGCTGACGACAATCAGAAACAAGGTGAGTTGCAAAACTTGAACCGTCTGAATGTGTACAAATCAGAAATGGATTAGGACTCGAATAAATCGCACGCTGTCTCAAATGTGCATCTTTTCGAACCTGGGCACGTCCTTGGCAAATTCAGGAGGCTGCTTGACTGACAAAAATGTCATGATGTCAAATTGATTGCATTGCCTGCTTGTTGGATACTCGGGCTGGAGGACCAAGATAAACGAACTTTCTGAAGACATCAAAGACCACTGAGAACATTCGACCGTTCCTTCACGCAGTCACGAATAGGTGGCCAGGCCGTTACTGAAGTAGCAGCGTATGACGTGCGCGCGGCTCATTCAGAAACAGTAATACAGTAACAGTGCAATAAGTTGCTCTCCGCGGACTAAAAGACAGCAAGAGGCTAAAATTACATTATTCTTGTCCATCAGAGCGACGACAAGACCTGAGCATAGTAATCAGGACATCCCCAAGACCTTCATATCTTTCGGTATTAGAGGATTGTGCGCCTTCTAAGTAGGGGAAAGGGTAAGCAGAGTACTAGAGCTTCACGGCGACGTATACGTACCTCATTGGAGGGAACAGCAAGGGGTAAACCACAGACTTTGGTGGCTCTATACAAAGGAAGACCTCTAAAGTAGAGCATCTCGAGCGCCGGACACAGGGATACTACTCCGAGCAGCTTCTCGAGCGTGCCCTGCGATAATGGGATATCCAGAACGAGCACCTGGAGCGATGCCAGACGGGTCTGAGGTCCCAAGTATAAGTACCGCGTCATACTAGAGCGAATGGGGTTTACCTCCAAAGCGCGCGTCAAATGAACGACATCACGGCATCCTGAATCTCGACATGTATCGATGACGTACAACTTCTTTAGGTTACCGTCGGTTAGTCGCCGTAAAGTGACACCAACATGCATGCATCCCCCATCGAGACCTTTATGCGAACACATCAGCAACTAGCCTTTCCAATTGCGGAATGACGAACCTGGACCATGCACTTCCAATTCCTCGACAGCGAGCGGTCCTAAAATAAACCGTACGTTGGAATGACAGCGCGAAATGGAAAGCCTTCGAATAGACACCGAAGCCATCCCAGCAAAGTCCTGCGGCTCCGCAACGCATTCTTCCAACTCAACAGTGACGAGAGATGCCGCGACGTTCTCGACAATCGAACGGACGAGAGGACCAGTTCCAC